ATATCTTTCAAATACAATTATTTCATATAATTCTTTTTGAATAAAAATCCTTCCAAATAAATATTTTGAATATAATTATTTCAATTAAAAAATCACCATGTGACACCTCATTTCATAATCATAAAAAAAATACGGGTCTCAGCCCATTTTTATATTTTCACGGCACATCGTGCCCATAATTAAATCATCATATTTTCCTGGCACCTTGTGCCCTCATTTCATATCATAACTGCACGGACAAATCACGTGCCAATTATCATTATCATTTCATCACAGCACCTCGTGCCCACATTTCATATCATAACTGCACGGACAATTCACGTGCCAAATATCCTCATTATTTACTCACGGCACCTCGTTCCCACATTTTATTTTATAATCCGGAATCGAAATTCGATCTCGTTATCAAAAATTCACCCTTCGGTCGGACTTTTTCAAAATCTTATATTTTCCAACTTTCGCCAAAATGTGTCAAATTGTCCTACGGACTTTCAAATTCAAATCCGAACACACGCCTAAGTCCGAAATCATTATACGAAGCTATTTCCATCCTCGAAATTCTATTCCGGGGTCGTTTGCTCAAAAGTCAACTCTCCGGTCAAACTTCCCAAAAATTCAACTTTCGGCATTTCAAGCTTAATTCCACTACGGACCTCCAAATAATTTTCCGTACACGCTCCTAAGTCCAAAATCACCATACAGAGCTATTGACATCATCAAAATTCTATTCTGGAGTCATTTGCTCAAAAGTCAACTCTCCAGTCAACTCTTTTCATTTAAGCTTCAAATTAAGGATTGTTCTGTTAATTTATATCTGAATCTTCAGTAAATCAAACACGACCACACCCGCATGTCATAATATATATTGCGAAGCTGCTCGAGACCTTATGTCACTGAACGGAGCGTAAATTCTTAAAACAACAAGTCGGGTCGTTACAGTACTTTGGTATGTCCGGCATCTTAAACCTTTTCGGAATTAACTCCGGTGTTGCGCTCGATTTGAATGGCAACTGAGTATACTTTTTCGAATCCGGACCCTTCAAAACTGGCGGTGCGCCTGGATCTGATCTATTCGGGCGTAAAATTCCTTCACGTTATGATTCATCCGCTCATTCATTTCTCTCATAAATATCATGAGCTCAGTTTTGAATGGATTATTACTATTATTGTTACCAGATCCACTACCGGTCCCCCCGGCACCGTCGAAACAGACCTCTCCCATCGGGGTGTTATTATCAACTCTTTGATCCATTTGATTTGTAGGAGCGACGGGAGGAATCAGACCTCTTCCATTTGCTTTATTAGAAGCGCCAGACAATGCTTACTTCAATTCTGTCGTCACCTGATCATGCCTTGAAAGGTGGCCCATGATGACTTTCTGTTGCTCTCTTATGATTATTACCGTTTCTGCAACGTGTTCTTTTTCCACATCATCGGGAGTTGGCTCCCATACATGTCGGGGGTATCGTCCGCCATCGACCAGAGTTGCATCATCCCCCTCGTTGCGGGTGTCACTAATTAAATTCTCATGTTAAGGCAGATTTTGATGTCCCTCAACGTTGTGTGCGATGTTGACATCGTTAGCTGCCATTTTTGATTTTTTGCTAAGAAACAAAGAATCAAATAAGTTAGTAATAAACGCAAGGATCAACTCAATTACGCAACTGTCTAAGCCCCGCGGCGGGTGCCAAATTGTGTACCTGTAAAATAGTACAGTTGAATTTGTTACGTGATTTATAGACAAGTGAACTAATTTGATCCAAAAATGATACATAAGCAAGATTAAAAATAAGATATAGCAATTAAAATCGAAAGAAATGACAAGCCTGATTTTGGGAGTGATGTCTCCGAAGACAGAAATAAGAACAATGTAAAACAGCAAGTGAAGTTATTTTATCTAGCTTGAGAATAGAATGTAGCATAAGTTTTGTCAAGAATTTCATGTGTTTACAATGGCTGTTGAAGCTACTATTTATAGTTATACCTAGAGAAACAAGACCCTAGGATCAAGCCCCTCTTAAAGGATAATAAAGAAGCCATTGATGAATATGTAACGGCTGACCATGAATGCAAATATTCTCTGCAATGACTGCCCATTTAATGCTAGGGAATATTCTTCATTGAATGTCATCCGGTGACAAACATTCAATCCGCTCGCGTTGATTGTGCTCCCTTCAGGGTCTATCCGATGCCAATTGCAATTATTGTTTCCGGTATTGTTTATTGTTCGATTTATCTTCTGCATGTCTTCGGTTTCACGCGTCACGCTATCGTTCAATCATTTAATTTAAACCAATTTTATCCTATACACTTATATGTATCCATTTTTGTTTCTTCCAAACCTGTAATAATAATACCCGAATAAATAGTAATAGATGCGATGAAAATCATATCATCTACTCTAAATCCGATATTGTTTGTATTCTCATTCAAGTGTTTTTCTTATCTTCACACCCAACACAAATGGGCCAGGGGGATAAGGGGGTGAACAGGAAAGTAAGTAAGGTTAGTTGTCTTCTCATTCAAGTATATAATAATAATAATAATAATAATAATAATAATAATAATAATTGAGGGTGTTGGTGAACTTTCTTCCCGGGTCATCGGTTCATCAATTCATTGGTCCCATCTTATTCCAATAATTGTCAGTCTATATCAAACAGAACCATTCTCAATACTTTGCTATATTTAAACAGGAAATCGTGAAACAATTTAAAGATTCAGTCTTATAAGCCACGTGTTTTATAGGTCAAATAGGAATCAGCAGTACATCATATTCCCTTAGGATACCATCATTTTTCGAACTACACCGAACTACACTTGTTACCATCATATGGATATCTTACGTGAACTGCGAGATATTTGATACATCGAATTATACTCGTTAACTCAAAGGTGTATTATTTGACATAAATAACTTTAAAAATATAGGAGCTTCCCTTTGTCAATCAAACTGCAGCATTAATTATTCATGCACATGCATGCTTTTATAAAAAGAATCTCTTCTTCAAAATCTCTCCGTTTCCCGAAGATATTTCTTTTCTTTCTGGTATTTCTAAAGATCTGCTTGTATGAATTATTTAGAATCAATAATGCAAAATTGCAGCTACCAAAACAGGATAGAAACATGAGTTATGAATTTTAATGATACTGCTAAAAGATTTCATCTAAAGATATCGAGTTATGATTGTTAAAAAAAAAAAATGGCAGTTTCATTGTACGAATCATCTCGGGTTCATGCAAATTGTGAAAAAGAATTTCACCCTAAAGAGTGTAATGTAACCAATCTACCTAACGCAAACATCAAATATTTTTAAATTATGATTATCAATAGATACAACAATTTAACCTGACACATATGGGCAAATCTATATAGAGGAGAGGGGTGGTATGCCACCCGGACGCTCGGGTAAACCTTCCCATATTTTCTTGTATTCCACGAAAATATAGTATGTGAGTGGCACCCAAAATTATACGATGGTCAAGGCCAACTAATTGCAATTGAGTTTGCTCCTTCCTCTTGGACTTGTAGTTTTCCCTTCTTTTTTTTTTTATTCTTTCTCTTCTTCTCTTTTTCTTAAGTTCTTTCATTTTATTCATCTTTATGTTTTCTCTCTTTGTACAACCCTATTTTTATTATTTAGTTAAATTATATATTTGTACTGTTTTCTTTTTCTAGATTTCAAACTTTTTCTGTGAATATGATTTTAATTATTTTAATTTTTAATCCATCTAATGTTATTTTTTTCTTGGTTTCGATAAAGGATGAAATATTTTCAATTTGGTTATAGCGTATTATTTATGCATAAAATATTTTGTAAAATTAATTCAAAATAAAACTGAATAAATTAATTCAAAACAGAGCGAACCCGACATATTGTACGCCCTAATTCAATTTTCTCGATTAATGGTAGATTCACATTAAATACATCGGCATCGGTAACCATCAAATCCTAGATCCACTTCTATGACATATAAATGCGGAACAAGCCTATCATGTGCGGGTTCGGTGAAACCCAATCAGTTTTGCTTAAATGTTATAGATGTACTAGAAAAATTATTAAATATGTAAAAAATAAAAAGAAAATAGCAAATCCAGTAACTAAGACAAGCTCGTAAACTCAAATCCCGATTTCGCATATGCTCACACAAGCATCAAGTACTTTTGAATTATGATTATTGTCAATAGGTACACTTTAAAATTAGAAAAGAATAGGTACTTTAAAATATTTTCATTTTTTTTTGAAAAAGTTTTAGGTTTTTTTTTTGAAATCATTGTTTGGCCATAAAAATTTTAATTTTCACTTGAAAATGAATTTTAAAATTTTTTAAAAATTTAAAAAACTCCAAAAAATTATTTTTCAAAAATAATTCAAAATTATATGTCCAAACACAACTCTAATTTTTAAATATCATATATTTTTACTTAGAAAAAGAAACCTGGAATTTTACAATTCTTATGTCCAAACGCCGACTAAGTCCACCAACCTACACCAAAAGATATCATAAAAAGAAACTTTAGTAAATTGTTTATTCTTTCTTTGGGTCTTTGGCTGGTCAGCTGGTGTCAAATCAAAATTAATCATGAGCTTTATTGAGAGTATTGTGTATTGTAGTTGTATCTATATTTATGTAATTGAGAATATTTTGTAATTAGTAGTTGAGGGTATTTTTATAATTAGCCAAAACATAGTATGCATATATGTATAGTACAATACAGATATATTTTTCACTTTTCTCTTTATGAAAGAATCGGTTTTCTCTCTCCAGAAGTTTCCACCATCTTCTCTTCTTCTCTCTCGTTCGTTCTCTGCGAGCTCCGACTACCACATCAATGGTGGTTTCTGCTCGCGTCTGAGTCTTTGATTTCCACATGGTATCAGAGCCGGCTCATCTCTTTCATCACTAATCTCTGTTTGTTTTGAAGTTGTAAGTCAAATTGGGAAACCCTAATTTTCACCCACAGTTTTTCAGATTTGTCGATTAATTCATCTTATATCATGGAGATAGATGACGATACTTCGGATTCAACTAATACAAACAAAGATACATTAGATTCGACCAATCCCTTGTACATGCATCCTTCAGAGAGTGCCGGATTGACACTAGTGCCGGTGGTATTTGACAGGACTGGTTATAGATCCTGGAGAAGAGGCGTCCTCAGAGGTCTCTCAGTGAAGAATAAGGTCGGTTTCATCACCGAAAAATGTAAGAAGCCAGATTCCGGCCATCCGACATTTGAGCAGTGGGAGAGATGCGACGATATGGTCACATCGTGGATTCTCAACTCACTTTCCAAGGATTTGGCAGATAGCTTACAGTATGTGGTCGATGCCAAGGAATTATGGCAGGAACTGGAGGATAGGTACGATCAGACGAATGGAGCGAGATTGTACCAGCTTGAAAGGGAAATTAACGACCTAAGTCAGGGAATCCTAGACATTATAGGATATTATACAAAAATGAAGAAGCTTTGGGAAGAGTTAAATACATTGAATGCACATGCACAATGTAAGTGCCAGTGTACTTGTGGTGCCAAGGCAAATATGCACAAGGCTGAACAAGATAGAAGGCTAATTAGGTTTTTAATGGGTTTAAACGAGGTCTACACAGTTGTGAGAGGAAGCATTTTGATGATGAATCTGTTGCCCAGTATTGCACAAGCCTTTTCTATCCTGATCCAGGAAGAAAAACAAAGGGAAGTTAGGCCAAGTAACTATCTGATGATGGAGTCTGCTTCAATGAATGTCAGTGGTCTTGCAAATCCAGCTTTTAGGATAAATTATGCTCAACAGAGGAACACTATAGGAAACAGCTCATACAGAGGCAGTTATCCATCCAACAGGTCACGCCTGTTTTGTGACTACTGCAAGAAGCAAGGGCACACTAAAGATAAATGCTACTAACGACACGGATTTCCCCAGGACTTCAAATTCACTAAAGGAAAACGTGTGGCATCCACTGCAAGTGTGCATGGAGGACCTGAAGGGATAGTTCCTGGAGGATGCAGTGAAGTTGGTGCTAGAAATCAAAGCATGGGGATTCAAAACCTGACAAAGGAGCAATATAATCAGTTACTGCATCTGTTGGAGAACTACCATGGTAGAAGTGCAATTGAAGTCTCAAATAACATCACTAGTGGGGCAGCAAACTTTGCAGGTATATTGGCTTGCTCTACTCATAAAGAAATCATTGGTAATCTTTCATGTAAATGCTTCAAATCATCTGCTGAATATTGGATTTTAGACTCCGGAGCTTCTAATCATATGTCCTATAACAAAGCCCTATTAACCAATATTAGAATTCTACCTTATCCTTTCCTAGTAACCTTACCAAATGGATACAAAGTTAGAGTGACAGAAATTAGTGATGCAGTCCTTAGCCCTAAGCTGACCTTACACAAAGTGTTGTTTGTCCCCAGTTTTAAGTTCAATTTGATCTCAGTTCATTGTTTAACATCATACCTTAAGACAATTGTCCAATTTTCTGATACTTCATGCATTTTACAGGCCCCTTTAATGAAGAGGCCTCTGGAGATTGGTAGAGCAAGGAATGGTCTGTACTTCCTCTGCTCAAAATGTCAGTTCCTTAGTTCTGCTTCTCTGGAAACTTGTCCCGCTAATTGTCTTTCATCATCATCTGTAAATGTTCCACTCTCAAGAAATAAGAAAGGTTCTTGTACATCTTCTTGTCCTACTAATGTGTGTGGATCCTTTTCTAATTCTTCATCTTATGGAAATTGTGTTGACTATTTGTGGCACAACAGATTGGGCCATGTACCTTTTGTGAAAATGAGGGGAATATCATCTATACCTGTAAACTTTGCACCCAAACAACCATTCTTATGTTCAATTTGCCATATGGCCAGACAAACAAGATTACCATTTCCACAGAAAAATACATCATCTACCAATATTTTTGAACTATTACACATAGACCTCTGGGGGCCATACCACACAGTCACACATGACAATTACAAATATTTTCTTACCATAGTTGATGACTTTAGTAGGTCAACCTGGACATATCTTATGAGTTGTAAAAGTAATACACTTCAAGTTCTAAGAATCTTTGTGTCTATGATAGAGAACCAGTTTAATTCTTCCATTAAGTCCATGAGGTCTGACAATGGACTGGAGTTTGTCAACAATGAAACTTCATCATTTTTTCATTCCAAGGGAATTATACACCAGAAAACCTGTCCATACACACCTCAACAAAATGGCGTGGTGGAAAGAAAACACAGATATTTGTTGGAAACTGCAAGAGCCTTACTGTATCAGTCCAAGTTACCTATCAAATATTGGGGAGAATGCATTCTCGCAGCCACATACTTGATTAATAGACTACCCTCTACAATCCTGAATAACAAATCACCTTTTAAAATACTTTACAAAAACAAACCCAATTATTCACACCTTAAAAGCTTTGGATGTCCATGTTATCCTACCACTCTTAAAACTCATAAAGACAAATTTGAACCCAGAACTGAGCCTCATGTTTTTGTAGGTTACCCCTTTGGCACAAAAGGTTACAAGGTACTGAACTTAGCCACTAAAAGAATACACATTTCCAGAGATGTACAATTCCATGAACATATTTTCCCTTTTGTAGTGTCTTCTGATCACACTTCTCTTCCTTGTGTTTTGCCATCTTTTCATTCTGATCTTGCATGTGAAGGTCATAGAAATGCTGCCTTGAGTAATAGTCAGTCACCAACTGGGACTTCACCAAGTTTTGTCACCAACATTTCTTTACCAGGTGATCAAGATATTTCCTCACTAGTTGATCAAAGCAACCATTCACCTGTTGATGCGGGTGTTTCTGAAACTTCACCTATCCTTTCAAATACCTCAGACCAACATACCGCCAACACTTACTCATTCCCAAGTCCTACAAGACCATCCAGAATAGTAAAAATACCAAACTACCTAAGTGAATATGTGTATTCCCTTCCAAATCTAAAGAACAATACATCACACACTGTCTTGCTCAATTTTCCCCTTTTAAACCATCAACATATTTGTTTTACTGCTTTAAACAAGGATAGTCAGCATATGATGAGAAACATTACTCATGAATCTGAGCCATGTTCTTATGAGGAAGCAGCCTTAAACCCTGCATGGCAAGCAGCCATGACACAAGAATTTGAGGCTTTGCATGCTAACCATACATGGGATTTGGTGACATTGCCTGCAGGTAAGAAAGCCATATGATGCAGATGGGTGTATAAAATCAAACACAAAGCAAATGGGACTGTTGAGAGATTCAAGGCAAGACTTGTGGTGAAAGGATACACACAACAAGCAGGAATAGACTATACTGAAACATTCTCTCCAGTTGTCAAGATGACAACTGTTAGGACCCTTATCAGCATAGCAGTTAAAAGGGGCTGGAACCTTTTCCAACTAGATGTGAACAATGCATTCTTACATGGAGATCTACATGAAAAGGTGTATATGAAGGTACCACAGGGACTGCAGACTGAGGTTCCTAGTCTAGTTTGCAAGTTAAACAAGTCCTTGTATGGACTGAAACAAGCAAGCAGACAGTGGTATGCTAAGTTGACTGAGGCATTATGCACCAGGGGTTTTAAACATTCAGAAAATGATCACTCACTGTTCTGTAAAAAGGATGGTTTTTCAATAGTATTTGTGGTTGTCTATGTTGATGATGTGATTCTTACAGGTACAGATATAGAAGAAATTAAGGCACTAAAGGTTTTCCTCCATGATCAGTTCAAAATCAAGGATTTAGGAAAGTTGCACTATTTCCTGGGACTGGAAGTGTTCTACAAGGATGATGGAGTTCTCATTTCACAGAGGAAGTTCACTGCAGATCTGTTGAGAGAATATGACAATCAGTATATTACAGTCTCTTCTCCTCTTGACTGTACTCTCAAGTTGAAGGCAGAAGAGGGAACCCTGCTGGCAGATCCCACTCACTATAGAAAGTTAGTTGGGAAACTTAACTTCCTCACCAATACAAGGTTAGACATTGCCTATAGTGTTCAGCACTTAAGTCAATTCATGCAAACACCCAGAGAACCTCATCTTAATGCTGCCCTTCATGTCTTAAGGTATCTTAAGAATGATCCAACCTTGGGCATTTTCTTTTCCAACAACCCAGATTGCACTATGAAGGCTTTCTGTGACTCAGACTGGGCTGCATGCCCTGATTCTCGACGATCAGTGAGTGGATACATTGTCTTGTTAGGTGATAGTCCTATCAGCTGGAAATCCAAGAAGCAGGAAACAGTCTCCCTCTCCTCTGCAGAAGCAGAATACAGATCAGTAAGAAAAGTAGTTGGAGAACTAATCTGGCTTAAAAGATTGCTAGAAGAACTGACAGTTCCTTGCTTACATCCTATCTCAATTTTTTTGTGATAGCCAAGCTGCAATACACATGGCAAGAAACCCAGTATTTCATGAGCGTACCAAGTACATAGAGGTGGATTGTCATTTTGTACGAGACAAGTTACATGATGGCCTCATCACTTTGCATCACATTCCCACAGATGCTCAGCTAGCAGACATATTTACGAAGGCCTTAACAGGGATCAAACATACTTCTATTCTTGGCAAGTTGGCAGTGAGTTCCTCACCTCCAACTTGAGGGGGGGTATTGAGAGTATTGTGTATTGTAGTTGTATCTGTATTTATGTAATTGAGGATATTTTGTAATTAGTAGTTGAGGGTATTTTTGTAATTAGCCAAAACATAGTATGTTGCCATTCAATTGCGAATAGACTTTTGAACCAAACTAGAATTTTGCAACTTCTTTTCCAGTAATGTTAAATTTGCTATAATAAGATTTTTAATGTATTCAAATGCCATATATGCAATAATTGACACTGCTTGTAAATAATGGCAAAATAAATGTATAAATTTGGCGCATAAGTAAAATTTAGAAACTTAACCACCTCATATCCAAACACGTGTACAAACTAGTAAATAATAATAATATTTCGATACAAAATCTTGTGTATGTGCTACAATAATAACTAATCAGTGTCACCAAAGCCATAATTGCAATTGTACTAATTTCACATTGCTAGTGACCAAATCGTCTCTATATAATGATAGGGACTTATGACCGAATTCAAAAATTATTTGTTTTAGTGTCATTGATTTTCGTCGTCTCCTTGCGGGGGAGGTGTATATAGCCACATGCAACTCAGGTTTGATACTCTTTCGTCGATACAAAATCTTGTGTATGTGCTACAATAATAACTAATCAGTGTCACCAAAGCCATAACTGCAATTGTACTAATGTCACATTGCTAGTGACCAAATCGTCTCTATATAATTATAGGGACTTAGGACCGAACAAATTATTTGTTTTAACGTCCTTGATTTTCGTCTCTTTCGTCGAAAAATTACACTGTGTAGTAAGATAAATTTTTTTTAATTTTATATATATACACTATATACTGACAACTCCTTAGCTTTTTCGTGAGTTTATTTTTTTTTATTTTAATCTCCTTAGTAAAACTTCTGATTTCGTCACTGTATATGAATTATCAATCAAAGTCCTCTATGTTTTTTCTTTGTATGTATTCATGTGTCATGAGTGAGGCTTCCACTAGTCATGATAGGTGAGTGTGTATTAATCTTTTGGTAAAATGTTAGGTACAAATAAAATAATCGAAGATAGGATTAATTTTGTATTATACGTACCCACATGAATTGTAATACTTTATATTTCGTTATCATGGTACGGTATATAAAGTAATAGCATATGTAGTGCGATTTTCCTTAGTTCGCGCATCATGTAGAAGTTATAACAAATTATAATAGTTCTATTGGAAGGAAAAAAAAAACAAGAAGAAGAGAGAAACTATTAGTATAAAAATAATGAGAGGCATAAATGAAGATGTTGGAAGGTGGAATTACAGTATTATATA